ATTCAAATCATAAAAAGTATATTCTCTGACCACAAACAGAGGAAAATTATAAATCAATAACAGAAACATGGTAATTCATAAATATGTGGAAATTAAACAATACACTCCTAAATAACCATTAGGTCAAGAAGAAATCACAAGGCAAACGAGAAAATACTTTGAGATGAATAAGAATGAAAACAGCATACCAAAACTTACGAGATGCAGCTACAACAGTACTTAGAGGAAAATTTATAACCGTAAATGCTTTTGTTAAAAAAGGAAATATCAAATCAATAACCTAATCTTCCACCTTAAGATACTGGAAAAAGCATGAGCTAAATGCAAAGCAAGCAGAAGGAATGAAATAATAAAGATTAGAGCACAAATTAATGAAATAAGAGAATAGAAACACAATAAAGAAAACCGATAAAAACAAACTTGGTTCTTTGAGATGGTCAGCAAAATTGACAAACCTTTAGCTAGACTAACCAACAAAAAAAAAAAAAAGGAAGATTCAAATTTTCAAATTATCTTAATTGACAAAACTTCTGAGAACAATATTACTTTACACATCATCAGGTGCATTAGCTACCATGAATTAGAGGCACTTATGTTTGTAAGCTATTATGAAAAACCCCCTCAGTTTGTTGCTTTTTTTTTTTCATTGTTTCATAAACAAAATGCATCCTAAATTAAATTTCGAGGTCTATGAAAGTTGTCAATTATCCTTAGATAACTCCCCCCACCTTTTGCTTTGGGAGGCTCCTTCCCCAATTTCAGGGTCCATCACACAGCTTTTATTTTTCTTTCTCATCCCACCATCAGAACAGGATAGATTTGAGATCAGTTATTTGTACTTTTGTTGACTGGCAAATTACCCTTTCAAATTCATTCCTACAAAAGCATCACAATAAACAGCATCCATATTCTGACTTTGGGATACCTAATTGTGGAATGAAAGGGTTTTCCTTATTAAAAAATATTAAGCCTCCACACAATCTCACCAACAGACACCATGATCTGAACCAAGTATTTCACTTCAGTCTTTTGACTCAGAAAATATACAGTATTCAATATAAAAAAAATTCAATAAAAAAAATAGAAAACACATTTTTGATAGTGAAATATGGGAAACTAGATACAACCCTGAAAGCCACTTGAATTAGTGTTTGTTATGTTTGTTTATTCTGTATATTTCAGGGAGAGATGGTACCGGACTGCAAGAATCATCAGAAGTTAAGTCCAGTACAACTGTGGCAGGGGTGGAGAGGCTGGGTACCTGTGCACTGTTTTGTTCCAGGGCCTGAACACAGGCGCTACCAAAGGAGCACTGGGAATGCCATGTGACTGGTCTGTCACTCACGAAAGGCTTTAGATCTAGTCTTTTGATGTTAACTACAAATGAAGCTATACCTGCAGCCGATGTTTGGCGTGTACGTGTTAACAATACTAGTCTGTAAGATGTACATGCTTGTCACAGTTTTTGTAACTGGGCTTTGCCACTTCCTTGTTGTTGAATACTAGAAACTACAAAAAGGAAGAATCCAGGGCCTCTCTCCACCTTCAGAGGCTCTGCCTGATGCTGCCCTAATGTGGGCTGGGCCACCAGCTCTTTATAAGCCTCTGCTTTTCCTCACTCTGCTCCAGATCTAGTCCTTTCTCTCTACCCAAGACTCCATGATGAACCTTCTATGCTTCCATTTTCAGGGATATCTGGTGCAATTTTTATTTGTATTTAATACTTCCACTTTTACAGCCTCTGTTCAACCTATCGAAAACGTCTGAACACGTATTTATTCTACCTGTATTATTCCTATTTCTTAATTTAGATATCGTGCACCACAAAATCCTTCCAAATTGGGACTATGTTACTGAAGCCATTAGTTTCACAACAACAATCATAACAACAACTAAAAACATTTATTAAGTACTTTGTGCCAGGAAGTCTACTGCTTTACATAAATTATCTCATTCTATCACATCTACCTGCAGCTAAGTATGTGCTTAAATTTGCTAGTAGCACTAAAAATTAGTTAAGGATATTGTTGGTCATCTTTGAAAGAAATATCTTAACACAATGAAGAAGTGAAATTCATACAATAAAATACTGTAAAGTCTTACAAAGCGTACAATGCTAAATTAATATAGGATTCTATTAAATTTACATTTCTATTTGTGGAAAATAAAGCTATTCCTGGTTCATTGTACCCACCTTCTTTTTATCCTATTTATTTCTTAGACCTTTCTCAAATTCCTAAGAACCACAGCTTCAAATCTGTCAAATAAATACAATTAGATTCATATATTCAATTGAGTCCTTTAACTAAGAAAGTAATATATAATGTATTATGTGTTGAATGAACTCCCAAAATGTTTTCCATGACAAGCCAGCCTGACACTAATTGTGGTATGAGTACTGAAAAATAACATGAGATGGGATTTTTACTAACCTTTCACATTGCATTTTGAAGCTCTATGCTGTTGTTGATCAAAACCCTTGTTTTACTGTCAAGAATTACACTAAGTCTCCGAACGAGCGAATTTTCGGTTGGAGACAGGAAATGAAGAACCACTTACAGTGGGAATGTATTTTTCTTGTCTCGATATTAATACATGATATATATTCATATTAATAACAACTCTGAAAATTAGTTTCATTCCTTCTACACATAAGCAATAANTTCTTTGAGATGGTCAGCAAAATTGACAAACCTTTAGCTAGACTAACCAACAAAAAAAAAAGGAAGATTCAAATTTTCTAATTATCTTAATTGACAAAACTTCTGAGAACAATATAACTTTACACATCATCAGGTGCATTAGCTACCATGAATTAGAGGCACTTATGTTTGTAAGCTATTATGAAAAACCCCCTCAGTTTGTTGCTTTTTTTTTTTCATTGTTTCATAAACAAAATGCATCCTAAATTAAATTTCGAGGTCTATAGAGGCACTTATGTTTGTAAGCTATTATGAAAAACCCCCTCAGTTTGTTGCTTTTTTTTTTCATTGTTTCATAAACAAAATGCATCCTAAATTAAATTTCGAGGTCTGTGAAAGTTGTCAATTATCCTTAGATAACTCCCCCCACCTTTTGCTTTGGGAGGCTCCTTCCCCAATTTCAGGGTCCATCACACAGCTTTTATTTTTCTTTCTCATCCCACCATCAGAACAGGATAGATTTGAGATCAGTTATTTGTACTTTTGTTGACTGGCAAATTACCCTTTCAAATTCATTCCTACAAAAGCATCACAATAAACAGCATCCATATTCTGACTTTGGGATACCTAATTGTGGAATGAAAGGGTTTTCCTTATTAAAAAATATTAAGCCTCCACACAATCTCACCAACAGACACCATGATCTGAACCAAGTATTTCACTTCAGTCTTTTGACTCAGAAAATATACAGTATTCAATATAAAAAAAATTCAATAAAAAAAATAGAAAACACATTTTTGATAGTGAAATATGGGAAACTAGATACAACCCTGAAAGCCACTTGAATTAGTGTTTGTTATGTTTGTTTATTCTGTATATTTCAGGGAGAGATGGTACCAGACTGCAAGAAGCATCAGAAGTTAAGTCCAGTACAACTGTGGCAGGGGTGGAGAGGCTGGGTACCTGTGCACTGTTTTGTTCCAGGGCCTGAACACAGGCGCTACCAAAGGAGCACTGGGAATGCCATGTGACTGGTCTGTCACTCACGAAAGGCTTTAGATCTAGTCTTTTGATGTTAACTACAAATGAAGCTATACCTGCAGCCGATGTTTGGCGTGTACGTGTTAACAATACTAGTCTGTAAGACGTACATGCTTGTCACAGTTTTTGTAACTGGGCTTTGCCACTTCCTTGTTGTTGAATACTAGAAACTACAAAAAGGAAGAATCCAGGGCCTCTCTCCACCTTCAGAGGCTCTGCCTGATGCTGCCCTAATGTGGGCTGGGCCACCAGCTCTTTATAAGCCTCTGCTTTTCCTCACTCTGCTCCAGATCTAGTCCTTTCTCTCTACCCAAGACTCCATGATGAACCTTCTATGCTTCCATTTTCAGGGATATCTGGTGCAATTTTTATTTGTATTTAATACTTCCACTTTTACAGCCTCTGTTCAACCTATCGAAAACGTCTGAACACGTATTTATTCTACCTGTATTATTCCTATTTCTTAATTTAGATATCGTGCACCACAAAATCCTTCCAAATTGGGACTATGTTACTGAAGCCATTAGTTTCACAACAACAATCATAACAACAACTAAAAACATTTATTAAGTACTTTGTGCCAGGAAGTCTACTGCTTTACATAAATTATCTCATTCTATCACATCTACCTGCAGCTAAGTATGTGCTTAAATTTGCTAGTAGCACTAAAAATTAGTTAAGGATATTGTTGGTCATCTTTGAAAGAAATATCTTAACACAATGAAGAAGTGAAATTCATACAATAAAATACTGTAAAGTCTTACAAAGCGTACAATGCTAAATTAATATAGGATTCTATTAAATTTACATTTCTATTTGTGGAAAATAAAGCTATTCCTGGTTCATTGTACCCACCTTCTTTTTATCCTATTTATTTCTTAGACCTTTCTCAAATTCCTAAGAACCACAGCTTCAAATCTGTCAAATAAATACAATTAGATTCATATATTCAATTGAGTCCTTTAACTAAGAAAGTAATATATAATGTATTATGTGTTGAATGAACTCCCAAAATGTTTTCCATGACAAGCCAGCCTGACACTAATTGTGGTATGAGTACTGAAAAATAACATGAGATGGGATTTTTACTAACCTTTCACATTGCATTTTGAAGCTCTATGCTGTTGTTGATCAAAACCCTTGTTTTACTGTCAAGAATTACACTAAGTCTCCGAACGAGCGAATTTTCGGTTGGAGACAGGAAATGAAGAACCACTTCATTTTGAAGCTCTATGCTGTTGTTGATCAAAACCCTTGTTTTACTGTCAAGAATTACACTAGTCTCCGAACGAGCGAATTTTCGGTTGGAGACAGGAAATGAAGAACCACTTACAGTGGGAATGTATTTTTCTTGTCTCGATATTAATACATGATATATATTCATATTAATAACAACTCTGAAAATTAGTTTCATTCCTTCTACACATAAGCAATAAACAGTATGTGCAAAAATATGAACACTAGCAGCAGTGATGTGGATATATAATTTGGGGTTTCTTTTGAATGCACAGCCATTTCTAATATTTCATTACAGCATGTGTACAGGGAACTGTCACAGATGTCCATCAGAGCTGGGTCAGATGAAGACAGACAACGCAGGCTTTGAGGATAAACTGAAGCTGCAGCTCCAAAGTCTCCATTTTTCATCCAAGGGCACTATAGGACCATTGTCTTCCTCCTTTAAGCAAAAAGAATAAATCAATCATGTTACTGACGTTCCTACACAGAAGGCTGAAAAAGTCTTTTTACAGTCCAGCAAGACACAGTAAAAACAAAAAATTTTATGATAAGAAAATGTAGAAATTTCAAAAATATCTTCATGCTCAAGCTTGTTAACTCTGCAATTTCTCCACGAAGTCTACCATAATTTTATTTCTATGGCAGAATCTATTAATGTAAAATTTCACAGAAACAAATGTGTTCAATCAAAATCAATAAATTAATGCTAGACTGTTTTATAAACAAAAAGTTTGTATATGATGTCTAATAAATAAAAATAAAGCTTTAAATTATTATTAATTTCAATAATCACAGAAGGATGATACCTCAAGAACACAAAGACTACTTCTTCCTTGTCTCCAAACAACTTCACAATTCTATTAAGTAAATAAACACAGAAGAATACATGAGACAATACCACTTTCTGAGACAACGAATAACATGCTTCCCATTTAGGAAAATGACATCTGCTAAGATTTTAGTTGAACATCTACTTGCTTTGCCAGCACTGGGAGTGGGGAAACTGACACATAACAGCTGCCTAATGTAAACTGGTCCAGTCTTTTAGTCAATAAATATCTATTAAAATTTAGAATGCATATATGTTTTGATCCAGAATTACATTTATAGGAACTTATGATACTGATATAATCATCCAATCATACAAATTTTATGTGTAAAGGCATTTGCTGCAACAAAAAACTGGAAACAAACTAAACGGCCCCCTTCCTTAATAAATTATATACAATGGAATACTTTAGAATTATCTGTATATGATGCACGTATAGGTATCTGTGGATGTATTTGTATACACATATATACATATGCATGTCCACTTATGTATACATACATATACACAAATATACATAACTTCTGAAACAATTTACTAGAAAATATTTATAATGCTAGGGTATTTCCAAACTACATTTCAAATATGATAATGAACCACAATCAATTCTTTTTAAAATTTTATTTTTCTTAAATTGACAGATAAAATTGTATATATTCATTGTGTGCGACATGATGTTTTGATATATTCATACATTGTAAAATGGCTAAATCAAGCTGATTAACATATGCATTACCCATGTAATGTTTTGATATATTCATACATTGTAAAATGGCTAAATCAAGCTGATTAACATATGCATTACTCATGTAGTCTAACATATGCATTACCCATGTAGTCATTTTTGTGAGAACAGAATACTTAAAATCTACTCTCAGCAATTTTCAAGAACACAATATATAGTTTATTAACTATAGTCATGTCTTACAACAGATTTCTTGAACTTATTCCTTCTAACTGAAATTTTTAGCTTTGGACCAACCTCTCCCCAACTCCTCTCCCATCGAATCTTTAAGATTATGCCTCAAAGATATGATTTCAAATGTAAAATAGGACACTTTTTTGTATATATTTGACAATTATAAACTCTCAAATTACAGAGTGACATGAAACTGACAATCGAATTTCTAAGTTTATGAAATAAAATTTAATTTTTAGAATACACTCAACCTTCTAAGAATTAAGCTACCATGGTGGAAAACATCAATTAAACAACAGATGGGTAGGTAAATATGCAGTCACTCTAATCGCATGATTCTAATCTTTAGCATACCTCTACAGTGCAAAACACAAACATGCTCACTCGTGTCCCTTCGCTTCTGATGCTCTAAGGGCGTGATTCAGGGGGTACTCAGTAAATGCCAGATGAATTCTTACTTAACTGGGTGTGGAATGTGCTAGTGAATTTGGGTACTCACTCTGCTAAGATCTCCCTCATACAGGAAATTAAAATAATAGCCTGTGCTTGTTGACTTCCCTCACTCCACCCCCCACTATATTTTTCAAAGAAAATGACACCTCCTGATAGAGTTTGGATGTGTTGTCCCTGGCAAAACTCATGGAAATCTGATCTCCAATGTGGCAGTGTTGGAAGCTGAGTCATGGGGGTGGCTCCCTCATGAAAGGATTAATGATCTCCCTGGGGGGGGGGGTCCTGAGTGAGATCTCACTCTATTAGTTCCCATGAGCTGGTTGTTTAAAAGACCTTGGCACCTCCTATCTCTCCTGTCTCTCCTCTCTCTCTCTCTCTCTCTCTCTCTCTCTCTCTCGCTCGCTCGCTTCCTTTCCCCATGTGATCTGCTTGTAACCACCACTGGCTGCTGTTTTCCGCCATGAGTAGAAGCAGCCTGAGGCCCACACCAGATGGAGCTGTCCCAGAATCATAAGCCAAATAAACCTCTGTCCTTTATAAATTACCCAAGGTTAGGTATTCTGTTAAAGCAACACAAAACGGACTAACACACCTCCCAATGCCAAGGTTCTCTGAGGATGATTATTATATCAGCTACCCCCCAAAAAATACACTTGATCTTGTTTACTGCAGATACCAGACCACCTGGAACAATGTTTCAATCGATCACAGTCTGGGATATGGATTTGAAATTAGGGAGACCAAAATTCAAGTCCCAGTTCTTTTACCAAATTGCTGTAAGACTTCAGGCAACTTATTTGCCCATTCTGAGCCTCGGATACCAACACCTACTTCATTTTTCAGAGTTTCAGAGAATGTTTTCATGGGACAGAATCACGCTTTGTGTCATCTGCACTGTTCCTAGGGTCCAGCACAAGATATGATCCAAAGCAAACACTCAGAAAAATGTGTGTGTACATGCATAAAAAGTGTAACAAGATGACAGGAGCAGTTGCTCCTATTTTAGCTCTTATCAAAATCATACATGGACATAAAGAGTTAAATAGTTATAAAAGATTTGTTATAAAATCTATCAGTCCCCTGTCCCAATTTCCTGCTGAACTCTTAGCTGACTATCTCACTAACACCATAGAGCTAAGTGGCATGACTATATGCTACCTTTCAATTTTTGGTATTATATATCAACCTTCCCTACAGAGAATGATTTGACCCTTTCCTCCTGTCAGAATCACACACACACACCCCATCCCACACACATAAACCTTTCCCATCACCCCACATCCTCAAATATAGTTACACAGTAATTTTGGTTGGATCAATACTGTTTCTATTATTGTAATGATGTAAATATCATTCAGAGCTGAACTACATATACTAATTTGATTTTCTTTTCCTGCACAACATTTTGTTTTTTTCTGGAGTGAATAAGCATCTTTTGTTTTTTCCACATCAGTTTTCTATATACTCATAACTAATTCAATCCAAAACTACCTACCAACTGCCTGACTCTCCTGTCAAGAAGCCAGACATACCATGCGCTGTATCAATCTCATCTTCCTGGAGAAAGCTCTCCTGGAACCTTCTCACTGCTCACACCTGGACCGCCTGCCCACTCTGCCTGTGATCTCACCCCACAGCACTCCGAGCATTCCTTTGGCCTTTCTCCTTTGTTGGATCGCCTGTTTCCTGGGTCCCACATCTTTTTTCTTGGTTTACTTCTTCATTTTGGTAAGTCACATCTAGTGGCTTCCTGGGAAGTAAATTTTCCATGACATTTAGTATCAGAAAATGACTATTCTACGCACACATTTGGGTGAAAGTTTGACTGGGTAAGAAATTCTAGGTGGGTTGCAACTTTCCCTCAGAATTCTCAAGGAGATGCTCCTGACTTTTAGCATCCAATGTTGCTGTTGAGAAGTCTAATATTCAAATTCCATGTTGTTTGATTTTGACCTGTTTGTCTTTTGGTTTGTTTGGTTTTTCCTCCCTCGGTGTCTAAAGTTTAACAATGATGATGCCTTGGTGTGGATGTATCTTGATTTACTGTGCTGGGAACTCAGTGGTCCTTTCAATCCATAAGCGTCTGCCAATGACCTCTGGGAAAATGTTTTAAATAATTTTGTTGCTGGGTTCCCCTCCTCCATTTTATCTGTTCTCCCCCTAGCTTTCCTGTTATTTGGATAATGGACCTCCTAGACCAGTCCTAATTTTCTGACCTCATTCTCTCCCATGTTTCAGCTTTTTGCTCTATTTCTTATAAGTTTCTTCAATTCTGCCTTCTGGTTCTACTATGGAATTTTGCATTTTGCTATCATGTCCTCAATTTACAAAAACACTTTGTTTTCTGAATATCCCTTTTCTTACTAGCATCCTGTTCTTATTTCAGGGTTGCAACATCTTTCCTTATCTCTCTGAAGATATGAATGATGACTTTCTTGAAGTTTTTCTCTCCACACTAAGTATTTCTTTTAAATCACCTTCTTGTTTGTTTTGGGCTCTTTCATGATATGGGCTTTCTTCAAATATCCTTAACTGCTCATATCTAAAAGTGGGGAGCAACCACTACAGGGAAACCAGAGTGGAGGCCACGGGCCTGGGGAGGCCTGTCTGTTGTGCCTTCACCACAGGATGGGCTGATTGCTCCATTTCCATAGAGAAGTCCCTGGGCTGGTCACAACCTCCCTAGAGAATCTCCCCAGCCCCATGTCTGGAGAACGGGGGGCCTTTCTGCCAATGTATTGCAGGCCAAGCAGGGAGAAGAGGGACATGAAGCATGAGGACATCATTTATTCACTCAGTGGCCCCTGTATTAGTCCGTTTCTGTTGCTTATAACAAAATACAGGGAACCGGGTGATTTATAAAGAAAACAAAATTTATTGCTTACAGTTTAAGAGGCTGGGAAGTCCAAAGTCCAGGAAACACTCATGGTGAGGGCCTTCTTAGTGACCACAGTGACGCAAGGTTCTCACATAGCCAAAAATGGTAGAGCAAAGAGAGAGAACTTCTCACGTGCTCTTCTTTTAAAGCCCTCAGAACCACGCCCCTGACCACCATTATTAATCCATTCACTAGGCATGGTCCTACAATCTAATGACTTCTTCAAGGCCTCCATTTTCAATGACCATAATAGGATTTCCCACACTCAACAGTTGCACTGGGGATTTAGCTTCAATGAGGCTGGGGGGAGGGGCATCCAAGCTACAGCAGTCCCTTAATACAGAGACTCTCTCTTCGTTG